TTGAGGCTAGTTTAGTCCATAAAGCAAGTTCAAGGGTAACCCCGTACATAGAGAACATAATGCAAGACCCTATCTTGGGTGGGGCAGTGGTCAGGAAGCTTGGGATGTAGCTTAATTGGTAGAGTGATTCTCTAGCACATATAAGCCCTGGGTCCATCTATGACATTACCGAAACTGAGAACAGTAGCTCGTGCCTGGAATCCCAGCACTGGGGTGGAAGAGGAAGACGGATGGAGACCACAAGGCCACCTACAGCTACATAGAGAACTGGAGGCCAGTGCAGGCTATTTCAGACCTTGGGGTCTTTTAATTTTTTGTTTTTAATCTTTATTTATTTGTTTGCTTTGTTGTTTTCTTTTGTCCTGAGTACAGGTAACATAGTGACAGCAGGGTGGTAAGATGAGAGCCTTCCGGGGAGCCACACACACATTGGAAAATTGAGGGCAGATAATTCCAGACTCACATGAGTTGAATAGATTCACAAGTTCATGACACAGAATGCTAACGGGGCTTAAAATAGGAAACCGAAATATTGCATAAGTCTGTATAAGCTCTGTGATTATAATGCTGTCTCCAAATGGCCTGTAGCAATTATTCTAAAAGGCACAACAGCTGTATTTGTCCCCTCATTGCCATTGCTGAAATTGACACTGTCATTGCTCCAGGAGGAAGGCTTGGCACTAATGATAGGGGGGCTAACTATGGCTGGAGTGTGACAGACCTCTAGTTAGAGCCCTTAAAGACAGCAAGGAGTAAAAGAATAAAGCTCCTAGGAAGCCAGTCTCCGGCGATGGGTGTAGTCAGAGCGCCACCGTGTGGCAGCTCTTATGCTTGCTGTAACAAATTCTGTGCAGTGAGAGAACTACAACCAACCTAACTTCAAATTATTTGCTTATCTTGGCTTTTTGAAAAAACGTCTCCCTGTGCAGCTCTGTGTGAACTGGAACTTGTGGACTCCCCTGCCTCGGCCTCCCAAGTGCAACAACATAACATTCTTTTTATTTGCTTATTGAAATGAGGTCTCTTGTTGCCCAAGGTGGTCTCAGTAAAGGAGGGTGACCCTTGAGTTCCTGATCCTCCTGTGTGTACCTTCCCAGACTGGGATCAGAGGCAATCCCCACACTCAGCGTTAAACTACCCAATCTGTCACATTTACACATTTGTTGTTTATGTTGTGTTTGAGCAAGTGCTGTAGCGTTTATGTGAAGGTCAGGGACAACCTTTGGCAGTGGGTTCAGGAGGTCAAGCTCAGGTTATCAGGCTCCTTGGCAGCTGCCTATAAATGATGTGGCATCCTGCCAACCCAAAACGCTATTCTTTATTTTTAATGTAATTTCTTTATTGGTTCTTTGGGAACTTCACATCATGCACCCCAGTTCCACTCATTTCCCAGTCCTCCCGCATCCACCCTTCACCCTTGCAGTGCCCCCTCCCCCGCCCCTGGCAAAAGAAGATTAAAGAAGAAAAATTAAAACCAAACCAACCAACAATAAACACAAAACAATACAAGCCCTCTTGGCTCCTCCATCTTTCCCACCGTTCCCACAGCTCTTCATTCCTTTTAGTGGCACTGGACGTCTTGGTGTGTCAGACAGTACACCCTTTTGTCCAATCAGCTTTCCTTGCAAATGTTCATTGCAGAGTCATTGGTCTGGCTTAAGGTGTCTGATTTCTGGTGCACCATCATCACTGGACCCTAAACTTTATTATTCACTGTGTTTTTAGACTATTTGAAAGTCATGACACTCTTCAATTTGTGGCATCACTCTTTGCTCTTAATTTCCCTCTGGGAGTTTCCTAACACCTCACACCCACCTGTCCAGTCCGTTCCCTATCAGTTTCCAACTGTCAACTAGATATCTACCCCACACCAACCTTCACTCCTTCAAATACTCACTCAAAGGAGCCCATTTCCTTAAGTGACTTCTTAAGAGCAGAGTTCCTAAGAATAGGAATAAATGAAGTCCTGGTTTCCCACCCCTGAAAAGTTCTGAAACAGAGCTGAGAGTACAAACCTGTAATCCCAGCATCCTGGAGGCTGGGGCAGAAGGATTTTCAAGAGCTTGAGGACAGCATAGGCTACACAGCAAGGCTGTCTCACAATAAGCATAAAAGTTACAACATTATTAAACAATATTATTAAAAAACCCTATTGAATTTTAGCATATTATGTTGTAAAAGATCATACTCTATAAGGTCTTACAAGTTCCCTGCCATCAGGTTCTGGTTACAACTGATTTATTTCATTTACACAATAGAAATCAGGAAATGAAAGGGAGTGAGTTAATCCTGGGCCTACCGGGGAACCTGTCCCTGAAAGCTGCGCAAGGGGGCCTGGCTTGTACACTGTCACTCACCTCCCTGATGTAAGGGATCGTTGTGGTCTAGGGTCACAGTAAGGAAGGGACTTTCAGAGGTTTCCCACCCTTTTCTTGGGCAGGCAATGATCTATTGGTCCAAAAGAGGTTTCCAGCAAAAGTCTGAGCTGTAGGCCTTGGCAGTTAGAGCACAGAGAAGCCAGTGGAAGCCTAGAAACTGTACCAGGGGTGCAAAAAAGATCTGTAGGTACCATGAAAGGTGTTCCATTGCAGAGAATAGCAGGACGTACTTAGTGGAGGTGCAGCTTCTGAGTCTTCAAGGGACAAACACTATGTGTCGAAGATGAACTTTTGTGATCTTTTCTCCAGCTCTGGAGTGCTGGGATTACAGGAGAGACACAATGCCTGCTTTATGTGGTGCTGGGCATGGGACCAGGGCTTCCTCCATGCTAGGCAAACATTCTTCCCTAAGGATGAGGTTTTTCAGAGCTCAGTCATGCAGAAATGCATCTAAGGATTTGCAAATCAACATTACTCCTACTAGAGGATGCTCTTCTCCTCCCCAACAGCTTTGTAAATTTTACCAGAGGCACGTGGTCCCTGACCTGATCACATCCTTTTTATTGTGGGTCACTATTTCAGAGCTCCAGTTCACTGAGGCTGGGAAGGTACAGTGAGAACATAAAACAGAAGCAGACATTCCCAAATAAGATTTTCATATGCATTAAAGCAGAAGTTAATCATTGGATAAAAATTCATCCTGGCCATATACCAGTGAGCCTCTTGTTTGTAGATGTGACCACATGTAACAGTCACCATGGTGTTTCAAACACATACTAGTGACTGTTCCTATAGGCCATGGCTTCAGAGGCAGTCAAGGTAACCCCCTGTCATTTTGTGTCTGTGTGCATGCATGCAGGTGCAAGTGTGTTTGTGTGTATGTGTGCAAATATGTGTGTTTGAATGTGTGGAAGCCTGAGATCAATATCAGGTCCCTCTTGGCCTTTTCTTTTCTTTTTTTTTCTTGTTTTTAGTCAGGATCTCTCACTGAGCCTGAGGCTCATTAACTGGAGTCCTCCTGCTGCCACCATTAGGAATGCACATACATACATATGCATACATATATAATGCATACACACAATACATATACATACAGCAAAAAGCTGTTGTGTTTGCTTTTTAAATGCCAACTTGTTAAGCTCTTCCTTTTGAGTAGAATGTTTGAGTCATTAATATTTAAAGTCATTATTGACATTAACAGAATCAGATCTCTCATCTTATTATCTGCTTTTGGGTTTGCCTTTTTTTTTACCCTGAGACAGGGTTTCTGTGTGTAACCCTGGCTGTCCTGGTACTGGCTCTATAGACCAGGGTGACCAGGCATCAAACTCACAGAGGCCTGATTGTCTCTGCTTCTTGAGTGCTGGGATTAAAAGTGCACACCACCACCTCCTGGCTCCAGCTTGCTTCTTATTGTTTTTGTTTCTTCTCCCTTTTTTGCTTTGACTTTTTTTTTTTTAAGATGGGCTGATATCAAACTCAATACAAAGCTTAGGATAACCTTAACTTTTGATCTTTCCCCCTTCACCTCCTCGGTGCTGGATACAGGCACAGCACACCATCATGCCCAGTTTAGGAGTTGCTGGAGTTTGAACTCCTGCATTCTAAGCAAGCACTCCAGTCAACTGAGGTACATTCTATCTCTGCACTGTTTATATCCTGCATAGAATCAAGTTTAGGACCACCTGTTAAACCAGCCCTCTAAGAGAGCTATATCCCTAAACTCCTGCCTTTGATTACTTTTCTATCTTCATTGCCTACTAGATTTTTAGTTGTAGGTTTTGATTTTTTTATTTAGTAGTTATTGGGACTCATATATATATTCTTTCTTTTCCTTTCTTTTTTAAAACGGGGTCTTAATACAGTTCAGGATGACCCAGGGCTTTATGTACCCCACCCATACCAGCTTCAGACGTGCAGACAACCTCAAGCCTCTGCTTTCTCAAGTGCTAGGATTGCAGGGTGATGGCACCATGACCAGCCACTCTCCTCATAGTCTACTAGCATCTGGTTTTTGGTTTTCTGTCCTTCTTATTGACTTACATTCCATCCCTCACTTTTGTGTGTCTGTTCATGGATCCTAAAGCCAGAGGCCTGGATGCTTTTCTGTTAGAGCTGCAGCCGCCAGTCATACATACAGTGACTGTGGCCTGCTGATTTCAGTAAAGTTACAAAGTGGGCACATGCCCTTTGTAGAACTTTGGTTTCCGTTCTGATTTCCTTTTCAACACTGTGGCTGATTGATCTCTGGAGCCTTTGTTAGCCTCTAGGCAGGTACTTGTAGGGGTAAACACCCATGCTTCAGAGGTAAGGTATGGGAGAGGGAAGGGCCTGTAAAGGATTCATTATGGAACCTTCAAAATGGTTCACTGTTGTTATTTCAGATAACGGCCTCCCGAGAAACAAGGAGCCAACTAGAAATAGCTGGTTCATTTGGATTTACTCTTTTTTATGAGTCCTAGGATAAACTTTGTTCATTATAATTCTAAACTCTCCATCCAGAGGCGTTCTCTCTCTCTCTCTCTCTCTCTCTCTCTCTCTCTCTGTGTGTGTGTGTGTGTGTGTGTGTTTGCTCACTTTTGCATGTGTGTGTGAGAGAGGGAGACACACAGACAATTTTTATTACTATTACGTTTCTTCATTTTTGTGGATATTTGTGGGATATTTACGTGCTGTGTGCCACGGGAAGTATGTGACACTCAGAGGACAGCTTGCTGGGTTTCCTGAGGGTCTTCGGACTCAAACTCGTGTCCTCAGGCTTGGCAGCAAGACTCTACACAACTGAGTCAGCCCCTCAGACCACTGCCATCATTTTGAACACTTACATGAACTCAAATTGAGCATGCTCAGGAATGTGCTCAATCCTGAGGGTGATGATGTATTTTTCCAATCTGAGTATGCATATTATTCTTCAATAAAAGTCTGTTTCTGCCAGGCCTGATAGCACAGGCCTGTAATCTCACTGGGAGGCTTCGGCAGCAGGATCAAGAGTTGAAGGCCAGCCTAGGGAACATAAGGACAAAGTATCTTAATAAAAACTATTCATAGGGGCCCTGCTTTGAACTCCAGTGCATATCTTTCTTGTTTGTTGCCCTTTGTTCACTCTCTGTTGAGACAGGTTTCTGTTTATATATCCCAGGCTAGCCTTGGACTCACTATATAGTTAGTATGAGTCTCGTCTCAAATCCATGTCAATTCTCAGTCTCCCAAGTGCTAGGGTTACAGGTATGCACCACCATAACCAGCCCTGGTTTGTGAAACAGCTCTGGCTGTCCTGGAACTCACTATGTAGACCAGGCTGGCCTTGACCTCATAGAGATCCACTTGCTTGCCTCTGCCTCCTGAGTGCTGGGATTAAAAGCATGGAAGACAATCATACATGTATACTGTGTCCTTACCACAGTCACCCTAATACCCTCTTTTTTTTTTTTTTTTTTTTTTGGTTTTTACGAGGCAGGGTTTCTCTGTATTGTTTTGGAGGCTATCGGTCCAGCCCAGCCTGGAATTCACAGAGATCTGCCTACCTCTGCCTCCCAAGTGCTGGGATTAAAGGCGTGCGCCACCACCGCCCGGCTCTAATACCTTCTCTTATCCCACTCCCACTGAACCCCTTCTTTACAAGCCTCCTCCTAATTTCATGTCTTACCATTCTTTTTGTTGCTGCAATTGGGGGTGTTTTTTTCTCCTTTTTATAATTTATTCTTTTAAGTTTCACTTTACGTCTTATCATCCTTTCAGCGATAATTGTGTGACACTCTTTCCAGGGAGACGTGAACAAACACCTCCTCATGCCGGGTAGAGAACTGGTGACACATCACAGGAAGGACACCGACGTCCAACTTGGCAAACCAATGAGCTCCTCTGGGGCTGCTTACAGGAGTGTGGGTGAGGGGCACTGACAGGAGCAGAAATAAGTCACAAACAAAGCCCATGGCAGCATGGGTGACCTCCCAGAAAGCCGGAAGCCTGAGGCGCACTGCACACCTTGTGGGCAGCTTGACAGCTGGAGTGGGTCTCTTTCCAGGCAGCTTGTCTGGTCTGAGCCGCTTCTAGGCAGCTCAGCTTATCTGAGAGCATCTCTTAGACCTCCCTACTGTTTATATAAGCTCCTTAAGACATTGGCTAGGTGGACTTACACAATCAAAGATGGGATTCGTCCAGTGTCTACACACATTGGAGAACCAAATCACAAACCAGTAGGCGTCAGTACAAGAAGCTGCCCTGGCACTTGTAAACCATCTACTGTGGGTGCTGGGCCTCAAACCAAGGGCCTCTGCAAGAACAGTATATGTTTTTAAGCGCTGAGACATCTCTCCAGCCCCCAGAAGAGCCATTTTCTTTGGTGGTGTAGCCACAGTTACCTTGTTCACGTGCCTTAAAATAACCCCTTAATTCCTTGTTGTGCAGTGATTTCCTCCAAAATAAAAGCTACTTCGGAGGGTAGCTCCTTAAGTTGAGGAAATAAACAACTCCAAGGCTTCAGATAGCTTCAAAAGCTACCTGAAACTGACCAGATTCGCTAGGCCCCTCCCTCCCCAAGCCAGCCGGGGCAACTTGAGGAGACTGTCTCAAAGCAAAGCATTGTTGAGCATGACAGAAAAGACTTACCATCATACACGACCAGGTAGAGTCAGAGGATCAAGGGTTCAAAGCCAGCCTTGGCTACCACTGAGTATAGTATTAGCCATGTGAGACCCTGTCTCAAAATTCCAAACCTAAACCACCAGCAATGAAAACCTCCTCACAAACCTTAAGAGGGTGGGATGTGGCTTAGTGCTCAACATAGCTTGCACATACAGGGCCTGGAAATGGGAAATTACAACATTTGGCAATTGTTTAGGATTAAGGACACCATACTGAGCTCTCTTAGTGTTCTGGCTCGCTCAGCTGTCTTTACAGAAATCACTGGAGACAGCCTAGGTCTCTCTTCACGTCCCCGGACTTGGAAATGGCTAGAAGGCCTGGTTGAAAAAAATTGTCAGCACAAGGAACCCAGCAGTCTCACCGGGCCTATGGGGATCTGGGGCTGGACGGGACGCAGATGCGAGGCTCAGACTGCACAAGATGGAGAAAAGAGTCTTGGAGACCCAGAAGCCTCGCCGCCCACTTCCTGGGCACCAAATGCGGAAATGGCAACCGCTGGCGACGCGACGCTGACCCGCTAGTCAGTGCCCGGCTGCGGTCACGTGGGCCGAAGCACGCGGAGAAGCTCCGCCCTGGGCTCACGCAAGCCGAGGGGCGGGCATATGGGTGAGGCCTCTGGCGCGCGCTGCCGGCGTGACCAGAGTGTGTGGGCGGGGCCTCAGCGGGACCTCGGGTGTGAGGGTGGAGCGTGTGGGTGGGGTCATCGCAGCAAGCTGCAGGAGGGGTGAGAGCCAGAGGGCGGGAGGGTGGGGCCTGCTGCGCGCGCCGTGGGCGGAGCCTCTGCCGCGTGCTGCGGGTTGGGGAGTGTTGGGAGCGGACTGGCGTGGGCGGAGCCTCCAGCGCGCGCCGCGGGCGGGGGCGGGACGTGTGGGCGGGACGTGTGGGCGGTGCCTCCCGGTGCTCCCGGGCTTCGGGGGCGGCGGTGGCGGCCGCGGCGGCGACGACGACGACGACGACAACGAGAGTGGGGCTACGCGCAGAGGGGCGCCACGGCCATGACTGCGGAGCTGCAGCAGGACGACGCGGCAGGGGCGACGGACGGCCATGGCTCGGTGAGCGGCGGGTGAGGGTAGCGGGGCCCGAGCTTCACCCGAGAGGGGCGCGGCGGGCCAAGCGAGCGCGGGCCAGCGGAGGCCGGGGCCTGCGGGCTTAGGGCGGGGGAGCACACCCGGGCCGCCGGGGTCTTACGACGCTGGGTCGCGCGCCGGTGTGAGGTTGCCCGGGTGTACGGGCCAGCTCAGGTTCTGAGCCGAGCCGGTGTGGGGCTCGGTGCTGGGAACCTTACTGGGAGGGGTTGCACGTGAGATCGTGGGCATCGGGGTCACCCCGAAGTGTGCTCCCTGCCCGACCCAGCATCTACAAACTTCGGAAAAGCTCGGCCGCGGTGCCTTGTTCTGACTCTTAAATCAGTTTTATGGCAGTGGCTTCCCAGAGGCTTAAGCATACTCAAGTTATCTCACTTAAAGACGGCGTTTATCAACAAAGTGCGAAAAAGACCTGGAGCCCCACTCCTCCCTCTTCTCTCTCCGCTTTTCGTTTGTTTCTTCCCTTTCTCTCGGAAAAACATCAGCTTCCCCAATTATTTCATTGATCACTGTAGATTTTGAAGGAGGGGAGGAACAAACAGCACAATGAATAAAAAGGCACACCGATTGGGTTCCTAATATTTAAGAAGGTTGAGAAACATTACAAGGATCTTTGGACAAGATGGTGAGGTTCAAAAAACTGGTTTGGAGAACATTAAAAGGCTAATCATGTCTCTTGCAGAAACATGGGAGGTGGGCAACTTGAGACTGTCATCTTGTGTTACAAAGTAACACTACATCCCCCTCAGGAACTGCACTTTTTAAAAGACAGAATGGCAAATCTGTACCAAGTGTTCAAATACCGTGCTTTCAAGCGAGAAAATTCATCAAATATTTAGAATACGAAAGTCTGTTACTGCTTTAAAAAAAACAACCCATGTGTCTTCTTAATTTTAATTTGATTAATTTGACGTGATAGGGATCAAGCCTGGGGCCTATCACATGGATTGGGCAAGAACTACACTCCCAGACTAGGAGTTCAAAACAGCAGGCTCTCTAAAAGTCATGCAGAAAAGAAGATGTCTCTAGGACTTGGGCTAGGAAACTAAAGTAGGTGGATGACTTCTCTGTGATTGGAATAAAATTTCATTGTTAGACACTCACAAATGTCTTTTGGATACTGGGGTCCATATTTTTCTGGGTTTTTTTTTTTTTGTCTTTTTCAGAGAATAAGTCTACTTGTTTTGGGGACAGTGACTTAAAAACAGGTGGTGAGATTTGGTTTTGACACAGTCATATTGATACTATTTTAAGGGAGAGCAAGTCATATTTAAATTCGTTCTGGGCTCCGTCATTGAAGACCACGTGGTTTTTAATCAGTGGCATCTTCATTTACCTCTGCCACGGTCTGAGTAGTGACCCCTATTTCAGCACTCCCTATTTGAGGGTTTGTATGTGAGGTGTTTGATGAGCATTGTGTATAGTCATAGCTATTTTGGGAAGGCTTGGCACTCCCAGGCTGTGACTGACTGCAGTAGCCTGATTCCTGGCCACCTTCAGAGTGATGACATTTACTGGTATTCCCAGAGATTTTGCCCCAGACTAACAGATGATAAGTTTTAAATGCTTGATAACTGTTGCCCTTTTTGGTCAGGCTAGGATAAAATGCTTGAAGGCACAGGTTGGGTTGAAGGAACTCAATAGTGGAGCATAGCTTTTACGTTTCAGGAGAGTATTAATAACTTCTGCCTCTTGGTAAGTTTTGTAGGATGAGTTCTTTTCTTTTGAATTCACAGAGGCGTTCTGCCTTCCCTTAGAAGATGTTTAATGTAGTTGAGAGGAGCTATCCTCCCCCAACACTCTGGAGCTATTTAAAACTTAGCATGCTTTCCCTCCCTTCCCCAGTTGGTCATCTGTACAAAGGACAGACAGAACTATGTATAGGCTGGCTCTCCACGATTTCAGGGAGTGAAAAATACAGTTCTCTGCAAACATGCTCTGGAATCTGAGTGGACACTTTGTGGTATCTCTAAATCCCCTAGACTGGTGAGTTAAGGACAGCTTCCTGTGTTTTAATCAGTTCTCAACTTAGATAAAACCAGCAGGAAAGTTTACTGTTAGGGTAGGATAAGCAGCTTGATGTCAGCTTGCTTCTTAGGAACCTGTCGCCCTTGGCAGCAGCACTAAGGATTCACACTACACGTACCCCTCCCTCCCCTTGTCTCCTACTTGGAACCCAGGGCCTTGTGCATTTAGGCCAGCAATTCACTACTGAGCTGTATGCTTTGTTTTACTAGCTGTCTCTTGATTTACTGACTCCTTATTTTCCTTTGCTTGGTGGTGTCTTTTTGTTTTGTTGAGACCAAGGCTGGCCTGGAACTTGAGGCTGTCATCCTGCCTCAGTCTTCCTGGTGCTGGGGTTAGAGACATGAGCCACTGAGCTAACTTCTCCTATGTTGTGCTTTTTGGAGTGTTAGAAAGTCGTAACCTGGCTCCACTAGTCTCCTGCTCTTCAGCCACAGTTATTGCTCGCACAGAGAGTGCAGTATCTTGAGCACATTAACAGATAAGCTCTTATCAGGTGGGTGCTGTGTATTCTGTTTCATCAAATGACTTTTTTAAAAATGTGTTTTTGAGATTGGTTTTCTTGTAGCCCAGACTGACCTCCAGCTTTGTAAGGGAGGATGACCTTGAACTCTTGACACTCCTGTGTCTGCTTCCTAACTCCTGGGTTTATAGGCTTGTGCCACAGTGTCTTGTAATCAAAAAAGTTTAAAATGATGCTAACAACACAAGTAATAGCTAATATTCTCTCTCTCTCTCTCTCTCTCTCTCTCTCTCTCTCTCTCTCTCTCTCTCTCTCTCTCTCTCTCTCTCCCTGCATTCTCCTCCCTCCCTCCCTCCTGCCTTCCCTCTCCCTATAGCTCCAGCTGCCCTAGAACTCAAACTATCCTCTTGTCTTCCTGAGTTCTGGGATTACAAACTTGTGCCGTCATACCAATGTCAAAGTTCCAGCCTCTCCCAGCCCCCTGCCTTGGCTTGTTAGTCCTCACTTTCTACCTGGTTTGAGACAGGATCTGTCTTGTTTCCCCTGCATAAGGCAGACTAGCTGGCCCTGCACTCCGAGTACCCCCCCCCCTTCAGTAGGGAGGAATGAATGCTGGGGTGACAGGCACTCCTGTTGTGTATACAGCTTATATGGGTTCTTGGTAATCAAACGCGGGCCCTTATGCTTGTGTGGTGTTTTTTACCACTGAGCCGTCTCACACACCCTTTTAAAAAATGTACTTGTTTGCATGTGTTCCTGCATGTGTTTATGTGTACCATGTGTGTGCAGAGGCCAGAAGAGGGCCCCAGATCTCCTGGGTCTGGAGTTAGAGGTGATTGTGAGCTACCTGATGTAAGGGCTGGGAACTGAACCAAGATCCTCATCTGTAAGAACAGTGAGTGCTCTTAACTTCAAAGCCAGTTCTCAGGCTCTCACCTCCATTTTGGGGAAGATGACAGTTTTATGTTCTTTTGTTTTGTTTTGTTTTGTTTTTATAGCCCAAGCTGGATGGAACTGAATTCTTTTTCTGCCTCCTCTTCTGAATTACTGGTGTCTCAGCTGTGCCATCATGTGCCTTCTCCTAACGCTTTTCTTCTTTGAGAGACGGCATAGGGTCTAACTGTATAGCCCCAGCTGGCCTTGAACTTGTTATAGGCCAGGCTGGTCTGGATTCACCTGCCTTCTCACCCTGGGATTAAAGGCATATGCCACCACATCTAGCCTCTTTTTATATTCTGATACTTGATGGCTTTTGTTGTTTGGTCTTTCCATACAACCCAGGCCAGCTTTGAACTTGGAACAATTGGAATATTATTGTGTCTTTACTTTCCAGCAACAGAACATTTTCTGTCAGGACAGCTTTACTCTGAACTGGAGCTTTTGTTTGTTTGTTTTGTTTGAGGTAGTCTTGTAGTAGCCCTGACTGGCCTGTAACTTGCTGTGTAGGCCAAAGTGGCCTTGAACTTACAGAGATCTGTTTGTATCTGCCTCCCAAATGCTGGTATTACAGGAGTGTGCCACCATGCTTGACTCAAAGTGAGTATCTTTAGTATCTTTATTTTATTTGTGTGTTTGTGGTGCTGGGGATCACACCTGGGGCTTCCAGCATGCCATGCAAGCCTTTTACCTGAGTTCTGTCTCTGTTTTCAGGTTGGTTTTTTTTTTTTTTTTTTGGCCCCCTCCTGCTTTTGTTGTTTTGTGTTTTGGTTTATTTTGAGAGAGATTCTTGGTATATAGCTTTTGAACCTCTGCCTTCCAGATACTAGAACTGTGGGTGTGTCTCACCACACTCAGATCTGCCCCATGGTTGTTTTCCCTCCCTCTCTCTCCCTTCCCCCCCTTCCTTTCTTTCTCTTTGCTGTTTGTTTGGTTTTGGGTTTTTGTTGTTGTTTTCCTTTATTGAGATAGGCCCAGCCTGCCCTTGATCTTACCAAGTAGTTGA